GAAAATCCCTTGGACGGAGGAGCCTGGTGGGCTTCGGTCCATGGGGTCGCTAAGAGTCGGACATGATTGAGCGACTTCACTTTCACTTTTCACTTTCATGCATTGGGGAAGAAAATGGCAACCCACTCCAGTGTTCTTGCCTGGAGAATCCCAGGGATGGGGGAGCCCCGTGGGCTGCCGTCTATGGGGTCGCACAGAGTTGGACACAACTGAAGCGACTTAGCAGCAGCAGCAATCCATCACATCAACAGGCTAAAGAAGAAAAATCATGTAATCATATCAATATATCCAGAAAAAGCACTGGGTGAAATCCACCACCCATTTAAGATAAAAGTTCTACTAAAGAACCTATAGCTAACATCATTTTAAATGCTAGAAGCTTTCCTACTACCATCAGGGAAGAATGTTCCTTCTCATTATTCTTTATCAGCATTGTAGTGGAAGTCCCAGCTAATGCAATGACACACACACACACACACACAAAAGTAAAAGGTATACAGATTGGATGGGAAGAAATAAAACTGTTTCTGTTTACACATGACATGACTGTCCATGTAGGAAATCTGAAAAGATCTACTAAAAACACCTGTAACTAGTAAGTGATTATAGTAAGGTTGCAGGGTACAAGGTTAACATAGATCCCATTCCCTTCCTATATGCAAGCAATGAACAAGTGTATTTGAAATAAAAAATACAATCCCAATTAAAAACAAACAAAAACTCCAATACCATTTACAAAAGTATATCAAAAAATGAAATACTTGAGCATAAACCTAACAAAGTGTAAATAAGATTGCTATGAGGAAAACCACAACACTGTGATGAAAGAAATCAAAGAAGAAACAAAGATACTTGATGCTCAGGGATAGGAAGACTCCATATCAGCAAGATGTTAGCACTTTCCAACTAGTGCCTCCCAAATCTCAGTTCTGTTCAGTTCAGTCACTCACTCATGTCCGACTCTTTGCCACCCCATGGACTGTGGCACGTCAAGCCTCCCTGTCCATCACCAACTCCAGAAGTTTACTCAAACTCATGTCCATTGAGTCAGTGATACCATCCAACCATCTCATCCTCTGTCATCCCCTTCTCCTTCCGCCTTCAATCTTTCCCAGCATCAGGGTCTTTTCCAATGAGTCAGCTCTTCACATCAGGTGGTCAAAGTATTGGAGTTTCAACTTCAACATCAGTCCTTCCAATGAATATTCAGGACTGATCTCCTTTAGGATGGACTGGTTGGATCTCCTTGCAGTCCAAGGGACTCTCAAGAGTCTTCTCCAACACCACAGTTCAAAAGCATCAATTCTTCGACGCTCAGCTTTCTTTATAGTCCAACTCTGACATCCATACATGACTACTGGAAAAACCATAGCCTTGACTAGACAGACTTTTGTTGGCAAAGTAATGTCTCTGCTTTTTAATATGTTATCTAGATTGGTCAAAACTTTTCTTCCAAGGAGCAAGTGTCTTAATTTCATGCCTGCAATCACCATCTGCAGTGTTTTTGAAGCCCCCAAAAATAAAGTCTGTCACTGTTTCCACTGTTTCCCTATCTATTTGCCATGAAGTAATGGGACCAGATGCCATGATCTTAGTTCCCAAATCTATTGAGATTCAATGAAATCCCAATCAAAATCCCAACAAGTTATTTTGTGGATATCGACAAAATGATTCTAAAGTTTATATAGGGAAGAAAAAGACCCAGAATAGCCAACACAATATTGAGGAAGAACAAAGTTCGAAGCTGATACTACCAACTTGAACTCACTACAAAGCTACAGCAATCAAAGTAGTGTGGTATTGGTGAAAGAATAGACAAATACATCAATGGAACAGAACAGAGGACCCAGAAACAGACCCATATAAATAAAATCAACTTCTCTTTGACAAAGTTGAAAAGACCATCTTTTCAACAAACAGTGCTGGAACAACCAGATGTGCACATGCAGAAAAAAGAAATCAATGTCACAAATCTTACAGCTTTCACAAAAATTAACTCAAAATGAATCACAGACCTAAATTTAAACACAAAACTATAAAACTCCTAGAAGATAGCATATGAAAAAATCTAGAAGCCCTTGGGTTTGGTGACAACTTTTTAGATATAACACCGAAGGCACAATCCATGAAAGAAAGAATTAATAAACTGCACTTCATTAAAATCAATTAGCTTTTGCTCTATGAAATATGAGGTCTAGAGAATTAGACATTAAACCACAGACATGGAGAAAATATTTGCAAAAGATATGACTGATAAAGAACTGATATCCAAAATATACACAGGACTCTTTAAATTCAACCATAAGAAAATAAAAAACTCAATTAAAAACTAGGCCAAACACCTTAATAAACGCCTCATCAAAGAAGATATTCAAATGACAAAAAAGCACATGAAAAAATGCTCACATCATATTTCATCAGGAAAATGTAAATTAAAACAGAGCTATATTTAAATACCTATTAGACTAGCCAAAATCCAGAACACTAACAATAGCAAATGTTGGCAAGTTGTGAAAAAGCAGGAACTCTCAAGCACTGCTGGTGTGAATGTAAAGTAGTTCAGCCACTTTGGAAGACAGTTTGGCACTTTTTAAAAAAAATATAAAACTAAATATACCCTTACCACACACACTGGTTCCTTGGTATCTACTCAAAGGAATTGAAAGCTTCCTTCCACACAAAAGCCTGTGCACAGATGTTTATAACAGCTTTATTCATAAGAGCCCATACTTGGAGTCAACCAAGATGTCTTTCAGTAGGTGAATGTGTAAATAACCTGTGGTCCATCCAGACAATACAATATGATTTATCACTAAAAAGAAATGAGCTATCAAGACACAAGAAGGCATGAAGGAATATTACTCCATGAAATAGCCTGAGAGGCCAGTCTGAAAAGGCTACATACTGTTTGACTCCACCGGACTAAAAGAAGGGTATGACATTCTGCAAAAGACCAAACTTGGTGACAGTAAGATCTGGTGATTTTCAAACGTTAAGAGGGAAGGAGGGATGAACAGGGAAGCACTGTGAGATGATGTGTGGCACAGCTGGGACTAAAAACTGGGTTGACTTCTAGAGCAGTTCAACTTTCTAATACGGTTCTGCATCAATAAACCACAGGACCTGCCAGGCCTGAAATCTCATTCCCACCTGTGCCTCCAGTTATTGACCAGACACCCTGAATTAATAAAAGGGGTTTTTGTTTGGTTTTGTTTGTTTGTTTTTAGGACATACCCAGGAAATTACCCACCCTCCGTCTAAGGTCACTTGGGCAATTGACTTTATAGAGCAAACTGGCCCCGTTTAAGAATTCTTGGCCTCTGAAATTCGAAATAACTTGGGTTTTTCTAAAAGTAGTTTTATCTGCGAATCAATAAGAACTTAAAAAAAAAAAAAACTCTTCTAGGCTGAACCCCTGCGGAGGGCACATAAGAGACGGCGAGGTGGAGGGGGCTCCGCGGCCCCGCAGCCGAACCTCGCCCCCGCGACACCGTTCGTCCCTGCCGGGTGGGGCGAGCCCGGAGCCCGAAGCCAGACCCGGACGGCGCGGCGCGGGTGGGGCCCGGGCGGAGAGCCAGGCCTGCCGCCGCCGCCGCCGCGAGCCGGGACCTGCCCGTCCGACCTGGCGGCGCTGTCTCGCGGGATTGCTCAGCTCTCGCCCGGCCGTGCGACTGCCGGCTCCCGTGGTTGCCGGAGTCCCGGACGCTCCCTGGAGCCGTCGCTGGCCGCGGGGGGACGGTGGGCTGGACTGGGACGGGGAGGAACGGGTGCCTTCGACCGCCGCCCCAGGTGAGGTTCCTCGGGCGCCAACTGGGCGAGTGGCCGGGGGCGGGAGGGCGGGCGCCGGGGCGAGCGGGGCGAGCCGGGCGGGCCTCGAGGGGTGCGGGGTGGGCGGGGGGCGCGCGCTCCGAGCCGCAGGTGCGCGAAAGGCTGCGGCCGGACGGTCCGCGCTGGCCCGGGGTTCCCAGGAAGCTGGGGCGCTGCGATGCTGGTCCCCACGGGGCCAGGGACGCGGAGCACGGCGCTGGGCCTGGGGCAGGTGCCCGAGGGTGGGGCGCGTTGCCCTGCGCTGTGTGTGTTGTGTGTGTGTGTGTGTGTGTGTGTGTGTTTTGGGGGGATGGGGTGAAGGGGTGAGTTGCCCTGCCCGGCGCTGGAAGCCGGGACGTACGTGTGTGTGTGTGTGTGGTTGGGGGGATGGGGTGACGGGGGTGACGATTTGTGGCTCAGTGCCCACAGCTCCCCTCCCACCGCAACTCCGTCGGCCTCCCTGGAGAGCTTTGCTCATTTTTCTTTTCAGTAAGATCGCCCCCGCCCCCCAGCCTTTTGAACACTCGTTTCGCTCCTCCGCAGTAGGAATCCCGTAAGTCTCTCTCTGGTTGGCCTTTTTAAAGACAAAAAAAGTTCGTCTCCAGAAGAGTGCCACAAAAGCTGGTCCTTTAGAGTCTTTAAAGAATTTAAGAACTCGTGAGATCTTAAGGAATTTCCCTGGAACTCAGTTTCCTTGTGCGTAATAAGACGCCCGACGGGGCCTTTTAGATTTTACAGTTCTGTTAATCCTCGTTAACCTGTTCCCAACCCCACCATTTTCTCCACCTCACTCGTTCAGTGCCCCGCTTTTACCCTGAGTTCCGTACGGCGCGAACCTCCAGTCATCCCGTCCCTAGAGATGAGATTTCCTCCGCAAGTCGTAGATTCTGCGCCAGGGCAGGTGGAACAGTAATTGACGGGACAAAATTTTCCGTCGTTTTCCCGGTGTTAATTACCTAGCATGAAAACTCTGCACTTTGACATTTGCGTTTGAGTCGATAACAAATGTTGCTGATACACCCTTTTGATTGTTTTTACAGTACTTGACCCAGAACTCATTTTCAGGAAAAAGAGCTTCCTTCAAAATGGTAAAATAATCAAATGAGGAATTGGAACATTTATCTTTGGATGGAAATCTGAGAATGAAGAGTGATTAATCCAAGCCATGTGGTAAAATTAGGAATTTGAAGAGAATGGAAACATTTATATTTTTGTGGACATGTATTTTTCTACCCCTAGTAAGAGGGCACAGTCTTTTCACCTGTGAACCAATTACTGTTCCCAGATGTATGAAAATGGCCTACAACATGACGTTTTTCCCTAATTTGATGGGTCATTATGACCAGAGTATTGCTGCTGTGGAAATGGAGGTAAGTAGTTCTTCATATCTTTATGGAAGAATAGTTTATGCTCTGTTCTGGAATAAACTATAAATGCAACCTTTTTTTTAAAAAAAAAGATAACAGTAAGGGATTTCTTCAAGTTGTAAATAAGTCCTACTTTGAATAAATGCCTTTGAAAATTAAATCTCCCTACTGACTTAAATTTGTGTACATTTGTGGCTTTGTTTAGTGGATTTGAATAAGATAGGGTTCATTCTCTATGAATTGTAGTTATGAATGATTTTGAAATATTGTGCACCTGGCAGATATTTTGCTCTCCTGAGTCAATTTGGTAGTTCCTCATGGTAAAAAAATGTGAATTCTGAACTTTTATTAATTCATTGAACATATAATCTTCTATTGCCTGGACCAAAGTGCTTGGACTACATATATTTTCATGAGTAGTTGTTATGTTCACTTGGGCCTGTTTGTCTGAAGCAAATCAGTGACTAGAAGATTTTGGGGATTTGGGGGCTGTAGATAGTGTTTTGCTAAGAAGTGACTTTTTAAAGTATAGTGCCTAAGTAGTCTTTGTAAAAAGAAAGAAAAGAAAGTGAAGTCGCTCAGTCATGTCCGACTCTTTGCGACCCCATGGACTGTAGCCCACCGGGCTCCTCCATCCATGGAATTTCCTAGGCAAGAGTACTGGATGGGTTGCCATTTCCTTCTCCAGGAGATCTTCCTGACCTTAAAAGAAACCACACATCAGGGGAGGAGCAGAGTGACAGTAAAGATTGCCGCAGGTGCCTCAGTTGCCTGCCTCTGGTTTGGAGATATGCAGATGGCTTAGGGAGGTGTGGGAAGAAAGAGTTACCTGTAGAGACAGGAACCTGTCCTCACAGATCTGTTAGGATGATAAATCTTGTGAAGGAAAGAAGACAAATGTTTTTTTAGATTTTCTCCAGAAAGGCTGAGAAAGGTTAAGGCTTATTTCCCTCAGATTGTTTCTAAGAGTTGAAACCCTGGCAATTTTAATATAGACACAGCTTTAAGACCCAGAGGGATAGGGCGGAGAGGGAGGTGGGAAGGGGGACCGGGATGGGGAATACATGTAAACCCATGGCTAATTCATTTCAACGTATGACAAAAACCACTGCAATGTTGTAAAGTAATTAGCCTCCAACTAATAAAAATAAATGGAAAAAAAAAAAAACCTGACTAGCCTTGATTTTGCAGTCTTCCCCCTGTTGTTTAATTGAATAGTTGTCCAGCTACCTCATTGTAGACTCTTGTCTGAAATAGGAGGGCTTTTGATTACTGAGTAGAAGTACTTTTAAAAGATATGGCAAATTATCAATGTATTACCATAATCTTTCAGTAGATTTCCAAACCAGTGCAAAATTGTCACTTTGAGCACTGAACAGATGATGTGGTGAGATTTCCATTGGCTAATCAGAACCATTTTGATTGTTTAATCTGATTAAATCATGTAGTGTGAGTAACTTCAAGAAATAACTATAACATTCATTCGCATTTTCTCTGTGTTTTATAACATTTCTTATAGCTTTCTTAAAAAATTTTTTTAATCTGGTTTCCTTTTTGTGTAATAGCTATATACATTTGAAGTTAGAATGCTGACATTGACCTTAAAATTCAGATTCTTTAGAGTTCTTTATCATAGAGAAGTACCATTATGAATATATAGAGAGATGCCTCCCTGCTATTAGATACTGAAGTTTTAAGATGATAAGAATGAGTTTTTGTTTTATGCATGTCTTTTTAAAGCCAATTGTTTCTGACCCCTGAAAGAGTTATTATTTTATTTACCTAGCTTCTTTCCCAGGTAGTTTTGTGTCTGGACAGACCCAAGAAATGTCCTCCTTTACTTGATTGCTGACACTACTAATTTCTTCATTATATAATCTTTTTCATGTACTAAACTTTCTCCTACCGCTTACTATTGAGTTTTATTCCATAAGTCACTTTTCAGTTGCTTTAAGGATGTAAAAGAAAGATATCAAGCAGTCGTTTAATATCAGCATTAACCTAAGTCTACAAAAGAAGAAAGGGAAGTGGAAAGGCAAAATAATATCAACTTAAGTCAACCTTTGTTGTTCTTATTCAGTCGCTAAGTCTTGTCCGACTCTGCAACCCCATGGACTGCAACATGCCAGACTTCCCTGTACTCTGCTATCTCCTGGAGCTTGCTCAAACTCTTGTCCATTGAGTCAGTGATGCCATCCAATTACCTCATCCTCTATCATCCCCTTCTTCTCCCGCCTTCAATATTTCCAGCATCAGGGTCTTTTCCAGTGAGTCGGCTCTTCACATCAGGCGGCCAAAGTGTTGGAGCCAAAGTGTTCAGCTCTAGCTTCCCTGGAGAGGGAATGGCAACCACTCCAGTATTCTTGCCTGGAGAATCCCCATAGACAGAGGAGCCTAGTGGGCTACATAGCCACCATAGGGTCACAAAGAGTTGGACACAACTGAAGCAACTTAGCATGCATGCAAATGACTTAAATATCATGCAGAGTTTCTTAGCCTCTTTTGTGCCATTGATGCATTCTCAGAATTTTAAATGAAATGAGTAGGATTACAAAGGAAACCAATTGTACTGAAATATACTTCTGTTTATAGCCCAGGTTAGGAAGCTTTGAACCTGTCATTATATAGGTGAAAAACTGAAGCCCCAAGAAGTTGTGTTGCTTGTGATTTGAGCACTATGAAGCTAGAAGTTGTGATTTGAGCACTATGGTCTGATGCAGTCTTCTCTGTCACCATGGACCATAGTGTCATCTTTTAACTATTTTATGTTTTTTTTTTACCCTTGCCTTTCTTAGATAACAACAACAACATACTTCCTAAGATTAGAATGTCATGTGTTAATTTCAGTCTTTGCTGCTTCTTTATAAACTTCAATAAAAATTAAGCTGGGAGATTTTTTTTTAACCTCTAATAAGTTTTACCTTTCTCTTTCTCATCCATGCCTTGGATACAAAGTCTTGTCAGAAGTTTTAGATTGAAAATAAAATCTTTTGGCTTCAGTCTGTCCCCTCTGGTGGTGCCAAAGTGATTTTATTGATATGCAAATATGTGCAGTCCTCTCTGGGGTTAAAATTCTTTATTTCCCTAAAGCCGGAAAAATACAGACCTGACCAGCATGGCACCCAGCGTTCTTTGTATGTGACCCTGCCTTCCTGTCCAGCTTCCCATCTCGCTGCTTTCCACATTATATACTCTGCTTCAGCCAAACTGACCTGTTTGTAGAACTCAGATTCATATTATTCCCTCTCACTTCCATACCTTTGCATATATTGTATCCACTGCCTCAATACCTACCCTTCTTCATCAGCTCAGTCTTTTCAGGTCTTAATTAAAGTAACTCTATGTCTAGTGAAGCCTTCCTTTCACTTGCCTCCTGAGCATATTTAATCAGCTGACTGCACACTCTGACAGTACATAATATCTGCAAGTGTCCTTGTGGTTACCATGCCACAGGATGCTGGCTTACATAGCTCTTTCATGAGTTTGTGAGCTCATTGAGAGGAGGGATGTTTATTCTTTTCTGTTGCCTACTGCAATGCCTCTGAGCCTGGTAGATGTTCAATAAAGGCTGACTAAAGGAAAAGGAGATGTTTCCTATTCCAATAAATCAGCAAAGAGAATTTTCCCTCCAAATCTTTCCCTTCCTCTGTATCTTTTGCAGAGTTTAAGTGAAAGGCACTAATATCTTTCGTGGTTTGCATATCATCCACCTTTGATCTTCCTGAGCTAGTTCTAATAAAATAACATCAGTTGTATCATCTGTGTTCATTCACGTACTAGCTTGACATGTATTTGTTTTTAATTTAAAGGATTGATTTTTAACTAACCCTTTAATTTAAAATTTATATTTATTTATATGATGTGTAAGAATTAATCTTTTGATTGGACCTTTGTATTATAAACCATATGTGTCAGATTTCTTTTCAAATGTTGTCTTTGAGTATTTATAGTCCAGTCAAGTATTAAATTATAACTGAATATAAAGGGGCTTTTATTTTTAAAAAGTGTTTTATAACGTCTCTGAAGAACTGATGGGGTTTTACACCTCCAGCCCAATTGCTTTGCGTTCCTGCTGTCCCTGTTGAATTTCCAGGGTTCACTGTGAGTTAACATTAGGATGCTCCCTGGTGTAATGTTAGGGCCTTCCCTGGTGGCTCCGACGGTAGACTCTGCCTGCAATGCAGGAGACCCGGGTTCAATCCCTGGGTCAGAACAATCCCCTAGAGAAGGGAATGGCAACCCACTACAGTGTTCTTGCCTTGAGAATTCCATGGACAGAGGAGCCTGGCAAGCTACAGTTCATGGGGTCGCAAAGAGTCAGACACGACTGACCGACCAACACTGTCACTATTACTAATGTTAGGATGAGGGAGTGAAGAATTATCTGTTGACTGTGGCAACCAGTTGTGCCTTCTTAGCTATCATGAATTTCATATAAGTCAGGAGATCTATTTCCTTCCTCTTTTATGCCTTAGTTTCCATTATATGTGATGACTATCCTGTTTTATAGAATTTGTGGTCATTGCTGATCTGTGATTATATGAGATGGTTTAGGGAAAAGTGGTTTGTCAAAGTTTAGTTCATAGACCAGCATCTTGTGAGCTTGTTAAAAGTGAAAGTTCATGGACCCCATTCCAACCTACTGAACCATGTAAAGTAGAGCGCAGGATATTGATAACAAGCTGTTCAGGTGTTTCTTGGAAGCGTTAAATTTTGAGACCCACTGGTTTAGAACAGGGAATGCAAACTTTTTCTGTAAAGGGCTAAATAGTACTTTTGGCTTTGCAAAGCATTTGGTCTCTGGCACAGCTGTTCAACTCTTCAGTTGTAGCAAATAACAAATGACTGTGGATGTGTTTCAATACAGTGCATCATTTTTGGCCCACAGGTTATAATTTGCTGAACCCTGGTTTAAAGTACTTGAAAATCTTCTTAAGGGTTACATACATACAGCATGTAATAAATAATCATTTTTGTGCATACTTATTAATGTGTTACTATAT